TGTACGTCACTTTTGGGTGCTTCCGGGCGGGCGCTGAGGTGTCTTCTGCGCGGTCCGCTGCTCGCCGCGTGGCCGCCTTATGCTCCTCCTTGGAGTAGCCGACGTCTGTGGCGGCGGCGGTCTCGCGGTCCCGCTTGCTGCCGGAGCGGCGCGTTAGCGCTCGTTCCTCCACGCACGGGCGGTGGGCGTGCTCCTGCGTGTGCGGGGTCGATGCCGGCGGGAGGGCGGCGGCGGCCCCCGGCTTCGCGCCTCCACCAGCGACGAAACGGTAGTGCCCCCCCCTTTCGGTCATGTTCGTCACGGTGGAGAGGCACGGCAACGAGGACAGTACGGCCGAGCGGGCGGCGAAGGACGCCATGCAAGCCGCCGTGGAAGGACTATGGAACTAAACCAACACAAGGTGGTGGGCACGTGCTCGCACGCAGTGTGCCCCGTTCTTGTTGCAGCCGATACGTGAGCTCCGTCGCCACACACACACACACACACTAGCGGTCACGCAGAGGAGCGAATATGTATATATAAATATATACTCTCCCCTTCTTTACTTATGTTGGATTGCCCTGCAGACCACCGCACCCCTCTCCTTTAGCAATGTAAAGCGTGTGAGTGCCGCTGCTCCTCCTTCCAGGTTAATTATATTCGCTCCGCGCTGGTTTACCCCCCCCCCGCACTTCTTCCCTACGAACTTCTCTTTTCTTCAGCGTTCGACCCCGCGCGGCAAAAAAAAAGAAGCGACGGTGTTTCACAGAACACACACACACACACACGGGCAGACCGAGCGGGAGAGGGAGAGAGACAGAGAGGAAGAAGAAGAAGAAATAAAAAAAGACAAGAAGAAAGACAAAACATCCAATAAACTATTCAACACCGCGGAGCGGCACATGCGACAAGCTGCACGCCAACTCACCACCAAGCAATGCGCTTTCCCTTCGCCTTGTAGAAATGCATACAGCCATACACACACACACACATATATATATATATATGTGTGCAGCGTAGTTATGGATTCACCCTTTTTTTTTGTTGTCTCTTCTTGTTTTTCGTCCAGGATCTAAGCAACCGACAGGCACCAAATGTTTTTTTTCTTTTCTTTGTGTTTCTTTTCGTTTTTGCCCCGTCTTCTCTCTCGGCATGGCAGGTAAAAGTGTGGGTGTTGTGGTGCGGTGCGCCGCTGCACGCCAGGGCCGCCGGGCACCAGCGCCCACGCCCACGCAGAGGGAGGAAGAGCGGAAGAGAGAGTGCGAGAGAGTGCGAGAGAGAGCCGTCCCAAAAGGCACATCGCGTCTGCCCTTCCAGCGGCCCCCTCCACTCGCTCCGCCCCGCCCAGCCGAGACGCAGTGGGCGCTCTACACACACACACACACACACGCAGGGACGGGGTGAGAGCCAGTGAGGGGCGCGGGGCAGACCTCAGCCGCATTTATCCACGCATTCCCGTTTTTTTTTTTTGCGCGCGCGCGTGTGTTTCCTTCGTCAAATTCGTTTTCTATTTTCTCCTCGTTCCTTCACGCGGAGCCGCAAAGCCGCGGGGCGGCCCGCGCCGCTAGACTCCTCCGCACGCGCACACGCGGCGGGCCACACTCCGCAGCGGCGGCGGCGGCGGCGGCGGCCCCCCTTCCCCAACGCACCCACGGACGCGAGGCACGCGGTGAGAGGGCGAGAGCGACAGAAACAAACAAACAAAGCCAAACAAACAGGCGTGAATGAAAAACAAAAAAAAAACAACAACAACAACAACAAAACTCTAGAGCTTCTAACAACAGTGACAATGAAAACAACAACACACACGCACACAGGGAGAGACAGGGGGTAAAGGACGGTTTACAAATCAACAGGGGGCAGGCACGCAGGCGCCTTCGTCCAGCGATGCCCTCCGCGCCAGCAGG